ATAGTACCTCTTGTATTTTCCTGGATACAGCTGGAACGCATTCTACTAAGTGAAGTATCCCAAGAATGGAAAAATAAGCACCACATGTACTCACCAGCAAATTGGTTTCACTGATCAACACCTAAGTGCACATATAGGAATAACATTCCTCGGGCGTCGGGCAGATGGGAGGGGGGAGGAGGGGATGGACATATACATACATAATGAGTGCAATGAGCACCATCTCGGGGATGGACATGCTTGAAGCTCTGACTCGGGGGGAAAGGTGGGGCAAGGGCAATATATGTAACCTAAACATTTGTACCCCCATAATATGCTGAAATAAAAAAAAAGAAAAAAGAAAAGATGAGGATGTTCACGAGGAAAAGATATTTGCTACAGCTATACAATAGGCTAATAAATTCATTTTTAAAATAAATAGGAGCAATAACTACTTTAAAAGTAGTAATAAAATACATATAACTTACTTTTTCACTTATAAAAATGTTATAATCCATTGGGTATTTTTCTGTGCTTCTGTTATTATTGTTAAAAATTGAAAATTCATTGTTTTCCTTCCCTAATTTGTAAAGAAGATGTTGAAATTCAACTGCATATTCCAGAGGCTCAATTCCATAAGAAACATTTTCAAATTGCAGTATTCCTCTGTAAAATTCAGGATAAAATTTTAGGTGCTTTTAATCAAATCTATATTATGAAACTCTGACAAAATCCAAAAGAAAAATGTAACAAAGATATAAAACATTTTGATTCCACTATTTTAATCCAAACTCTGTCTTAGAGAGGATTCTGAAGAGACAAAAGATTATCCTAATTCACAAAACCAACTTTCCAGTTCTTTTTTTTTATAGTTACAAAAGGAGGAGAAATTACCTTATCAATTGCTAGATGTACAAGTATACACTATTACAGTGATCAAGTACTAATAATTCCTCTGTTTTCCAAGTCAGTGACTTAACTATCTTAAACATAGCTCCTCCCACTCTTGTAGTGAAGCATGTTCAATTGTCATTTCTGTGGTTAAGAAAAAATAAGAGAGCAAAGAGACCAGGAAATCTAAACCTTTCAGGGAATTAGAAATGTCTCTGTCAGCGAAGAAAGTGAGGAAAAATAAGAGAATTAGAAACATGTTCAGAGGAAGATGTCACTGAATAATCTCCACATAGGAATCTTCCTCCAGCTCCACACTTAATATGAACAGAACAAATTCACAGCAACCAAATAGCATAACTATGGTGTTTCGTAATAAACTGGTGGAAAATAAATAACCTCAGTCCAGAACACGTGCTGAGTGTGACAACGGAATTCGGATATCCTTCGATATTTCCTTGATAGTAGCATCTAGTCTAGGAAAGAAAAAAATTGACAAAACATTCTAATGATTTCCTACTTCTATACTTGATAGAAACCTCCTGAATGTTTTTGACAGGGTACATTGTGGTCTATATCAGTATGAGTAAAG